CCACAACGCCGTAGAGGAGATCCTGGAGTGTGTACGGGATGGTTTTCTTGACCAATATGTGGAGGAACCAACCAGACAGCAGGCCATCTTGGACTTGGTGCTGTCTACTGAGAAGGGAATCATTGCCAATCTAGCTATGGGAGACCCCTTGGGGAAGAGCAGCAATAACATGATAGAATTTTTTTTATCAAGATGGAGAGAGAGGTTGTTGATTTGGAGACTAGGGTGCTGAATCTTAATGAAGGAAACTACGAGGCTGAGAGGCGCGAGTTGGCCTTGATAGTTTAAAGAGAGTTACTTAAAGGGATGACAGTGGATAGGAAATGGCAAACATTAAAGGAATGCATGGGGGAACTGCAACAACTGTTTATTCCTGTCTGTCGCAAAAACAAAACAGGTAAGAGGGCCAATCCATGGCTTACGAAGGAAATAAGAGATAGCACCCAATCCAAGGAAGAAGCATACAGACTGGCTAAGATAAATAATAAATCTGAGGATTGGGGACAGTTTAGAATTCAGCAAAGAAGGACCAAGAGATTGATTGTGAAGGGGAAAAGAGAGTATGAAAGTAAGCTTGCAGGGAACATAAAGACTGATGCTAAGAGTTTCTTTTGGTACATGAAAAGAAAGAGATTGGTAAAGACAAATGTAGGTCCCCTACAGACAACTGGGGGCATGTATAACAGGGGGCAAAGAGATGGCGGAGGAACGGAATACAGAAATTGGTTCTATCTTCACAAAAGAGGACACAAATCAGATATCAGAATTGTCGGAGAAGGCAAGATTTAATGAGAGGGAAGAGCGGAGGCAGATCAATATTAGTAAAGAAATGTTGCTGGGAAAATTGTTGGGATTGAAGGCCGATAAATCCTCAGGGTCTGGTAATCTACATTCCAGAGGACTTAAGGAAGTAGCTCTAGAAATAGAGGATGCATTAGTAGTCTATCAGGATTCTATCAACTCTGGAACAGTCCTAGCAGATTGGAGGGTGGCTAATGTCAAACAGTTAGACCCATATTACATCAGCTCCCTGCAACAGCCCTATTGATAAAAACATTGATCAGTGGAATACAAAACTGGAAGGTTCCAAGTTTGATCCCAAGTCTACATAGTGACTAATATAAAATTGTGCACCAGTGAGACTTGTACAGCGGTTTTCAGTATTCTCCTTTTCTTACAGAAAAAAGTGGAGTTTCTGCACCTGATCACAAAACAGTGACATCTGCTGGTAGGCAAGCCTGTTGTCAGTTGAATCAGGATCAAATGTAATTCTGCAACCTTTCAAGTTCAACCAGCTAGCACATGTTTTACAGCATTTTACGTCCATGTGAAGAATATTTGCATAAAATTTGTATTTTAAAACAGACTGTGCATTACACACAAGTTAGGAGCAGAGACAGGCCATTAAAGGTCCTCTGCCATTTAATAAGATCACGGTTGCGCCGTTTGTATTTTGAATTCCACATTCCCATCTATCCCCAAAAGCTTTTAACTCCCTTTCCTGTTAAGAATCTACCTAGCTTGCTTAAAAATTTTCAATGGCCAACACCTCCACCACCTTCCGAGGCAGAGAATTCCAAACACTCAAAAAGCATTTCTTTTCAACTTGGTGCTATAAGACAATCCCATACGTTTTAAAGTGCCCCCAGATCCGGACTCTCACACGAGAGAAAATATCTTTTCCACATTCACCTTGTCAAGACCATTCGTGACTTAATATCCTTCAATCAGGTCATCCCTCGATCTTCTAAACACCAGTGATTACAAGCCCAGTTTGTCTGGCCTTTCCTCATAAGACAACTTATTTCAGGTGTCAATCTAGTAAACTACCTCTGAACTGCCTCCAACAAATTGCCATCCTTCCTTAAACGGTTTATAAATTAATTTGAAAGAAAAATGTACGTAAACATTTCCTTGCCATATCTCAAATTTCTCCAATGTCCTGCACACCCAATAAATTCCATTCATTGTGCATACGTTGTTTTATATATGAACAAATGTGCAGCTATTTGACATCCAGTAAATAAGACATCTTAAAGAGCAGTGAATTTAATTATAAACTAATTGGTTTTTCAGGGTGCTGGTTGAAAAACTTAACCTAAAAAAGCTTCCAATCACATATTTACTCCAACACCAAGATGACCCTTTTATTTTGATAATGTTGCACCACGCCCTACTTTGGCACATTTAATCGCTGAAATTCTCATGCATGCCTTGGTTACCTCAGAATTTGACTGTGGCAAAGCACATTTGGCCTGTCTCCCATGTTCTATACAAGGTAAATTTAAGGATATCCAAAATTCAACTGCCTGTGTCCCACTCACATGAACTCCTGTTCATCCATAAACCCGTGCTCATGGGCCTACATGAGTTCCTCGATAAGGAATGCTTTCATTTAAAATTTTCATCCATGTTTCCAAATTCTTCCACAACTTCATTTTGGTAATCCTTATTACTTTCTTCTGGCTCCAAAAACCCTCCAAGATAGCTTGGCCTCTTCAGCATTTGATTTTATTTGCTCCACCATTGTGGTTGTGCTTTCAGGTGTCGAGGCCCTAACATCTCTCAATCTCTCCCGAAACCTCTGCCTCCTCCTTTCCTGAAGATATCTGACATATTGACCAAGAATTTGGGCATGCGGCCCAATATCTTGTTATGTGGCTTGACACTAAATTTTGCTTTAATGATGTTCCTGTCAAATGCTTTGGAACATTTAATTTGTATTGATGGTGCTATACAAACTCAAATGTTACTACTGAATATTCATTTAGATATTAAAATAAATCTCTCTGTTCTTCTTCAAATAGTAGCACAGGATCTTACAAGATTACAACGTCGAGCCGCATTGGAGGAGCTCACTGGGGCAGTCACATGAGTTAAAGATTTTTTTCAAGTACGTAAAATTCCCAATTTACCTCTCTTTTAGGCCAAGGTTGGCTGAAAGCGCAGATCAGGTGTCTGTACTTAACAGAAATTATTTATCACAGATAAACAATTATGAATTGTCAGTTAGGGATTAGCTCAATTAATTAAATCCTAATCCGCATATTCCTTCTCCCTTACACACACACAGCCCCACCAACACCCATTGAGAAAACGTGGAAAACAGTTCAGTGGTCTCTGTTTACCGGAATGTTGCTTCTCTGTCTTCCTTTCCCTAATGCTCCATTCGTTTGCAAGAGGCACAGGGCTCATTTATAAAAGCTGCCTGTGGAGGTACTAGCAGCAGAAACATTCATAACATTTTAGGAGTATTTATGTGTTCTAAGGCATACAAGGATATGGGCCAAATGGATTAAAATAGTTAAGCAGTTGTTTTTCTTTAAACTGGTGCAGGCACAATATTGTGTAATTGTGTAATTGTGAACTTTTCCACGAGAAGATCTTAACAGCTGCAATGTACACAAAGGCACAATTTAATCAATATTAACTCTTGCACACAATTCTCAAAATTGACTTTTGCTGCTTGCATTTTCCACTTATTATTTATGCACAAGTACTCAACAGGACACACATTTTAGAATTACTCTGTAGACACTTTGAATCTGGAAAGGAATTATACCCAAACAAATGGTAGATGTTTGAATGATAACAAGGGCCTCACAGGGAGAAAACCAGTCTAACAGAGGAAACAAAGCTTGAACTGATCTTTGAAATAAATTTAGGCAAGGAGGAGTTTGGCTGACCTAGCTACAAGATGAGGTTCAATTGCTCCCTGGTTATTCTCTCATTATCAACTTACTAAAAGTTCGCAGAATAGAATCTCAGTTATAAGAATTAAATGAACATTCCTCAGGGTCTACTCGAAGCCAACTGCATGCACCAGTGCCTTCAGAAACCAAGTAAGCTACAATTCCATGTGCCTGTATTAGATCATGGAGACTGCTTAAGTGAACTTTTTAAATTACGTATCTTTTTACTTTTGATTTTTTCCTTAACTAACTGTTTGTCTGTCTTTGTGTAAGTGGAGGCTAGAATTAAAGAGGATTGGTGTTAAATCATAGACATTGATTATTGTTTAACTTTGCTCTACTAAAGCTACTGTACTATTAATAAATTGTTAAATCTTTTGTTTAAGCTATAAACCTGGTGTCTGTATCTTTATGCACAAAGTCTGATACTGGTTATGAACCACTGGGGTCAATTTTGAGGGTCATCGAATGTTTTAATTTTACTAAATTGGCAAATGCAGGTAAACAGGGGATAATCTGATTTAGCTGTCTACCTCCATGGTATAACAAACTAAGAATTTCATATTCCAATATACTCCTCTACGGCATCCTATCTTTGTAACATTTTACTCTTTGTAACATTAAGCTTTTCAAGACACTGTTCCCCACATCCAAAATTTTACCGAGACTTATTAATTGTGCTCACTGAAGTACATTGGCTTCCAGTTGATTATAACATAGATGAGAATCTTAAAATCATCGTTTTCAAAATCCTTCACAAGATTACCTTTCACCACCTCTAACCTCAACTAGCCTTATAGTCCTCAGAGATCTCTACAGTCCTCCAATTCAGCCTGCTTGTGTATCTCCAATATTAATCACTCCACCACTAGTCAAGCTTTCAGCTGTCTGAAATTAAGCTCTGTAAATCTCCCTCTCTACCACTCTTTCCTTCTCTAAAACTTACATCTTTGACAAAGTTTTTGGACCTCTTCCTTGATACTTTATATAATTTAGTGTCTAACTTTGTTTGAGGTTTTGCCTTAGCGCATTACTGCATTTAAGATGCGGTATAAATGCAAGTTACATATTTCCAATGAAATGCAATATCTTCTGACTACCTGATTTAATACTTTAGTTAACCCAACAGTTAATTAAATTGAGTTGATAGTTCTACTCAACTTGTCTAACAAAAAGGTGAAAGACACAGAGTATAAGTTTGTCTTGTCATTTTGTGGAAAACTGCGATCTAAAGCACTCGAAATATCACCAATAGCTTTAGTGACACTGCTTTAAAAAATAAACATAATAAGAAGTTTGGCATTTTACCTTTCGCTTACACTGATGCCTTTGGCAGTCACGCAACTTGATGCATTTTGTTTCGCACAGGTACTCCTTATGACATGGCAAAATCTTTGAGTGTTTCCCACAACGACATTGTTTTTCCACTTCCTGAAAGTCAAAATCAAACAATTAAGAATACTACATTAGAAAATTTTTCAGGATGGCAGAGGGGCAGGATAGTGGCGTTTGGGCTCGCAGCCCCTCCGTTCCCTCTCACGTGACTGACCACACCCTTTTTTAAAGTTTTATTTTATTTTTCTTCATTTGAATCAATTTCATTTTTCTCTTCTCTCTGCGGCCGCAATGGTGGAAAGAGGTATGCTGTTGAGCAGTGCATCCAGTCTATTCCTTGCACATTTTAATGTATTTCCATAAATACACGTAACAATAAACTATAAAGAAAATTAAGTATTTTCCTTACTGTCGATTATTTTTCACTTTTTCTGAATGTCTTGAAGGTAACAACATTTATAGCAAAGACTTTTTTCAGAATTGGGAAGACATTCTTGACTATATTACACAGGTATTTTTTTCCAGTATAATGACCACATTCCGGTCTGAATGTTGAGCATTAGGAATATTCTGGTAATATTATTTTTTTAATCTAAATGTCAATTTCTTGGAAAGTTCACAGTTATTGTTTTCATTTTTTGGACACAAAGTTACTGATGCGTACTGTGCTGTCTAAATTTATATAGATTTCTTTCAATGATTTTCAAAACGTTGTGCATAGATTACTTAATAAAATTGTGGTACATTGATAGTTTATATGAACTTTAAAAATTCACCCTGTGTGGTCTCCTGATTTTATCAAAAGGAACACAAATTCCTTGAATAACCTTTTACAATGCACACTATCAAACCGAAATATGAGTTGTAAGTACTTTATAAATCAGTTCTTTTTATGAACACATCTTAGGATATTAAAATATGATATTATAATCTTAAATGTAGACAGGTGCTTCACGATATTTCATTACATTAAATAGGTTTGGCTGCACAAACTAAAATAACCCTAGATGTTCGAAAGTTTAAATGGCAATTATCCAAAAGGAAACCTTTATTTATGCTTCAAATAAGATGTTATGTTTCGCCATTCACATCAAGATGCATTAAAAATAGCTCTTTCTGAACAAAGGAATCATCATAATTTGACAACTAAAAAACACAAGTTCTATATTCTGCTACTTAGGTTAATACAAGGCATTGATTTTCACTACAGCTTTATCAGATGGATTTTCAGCTCCTTCAACTTCACCCAGTTACCATGTCTTATAGAAATCCTATAGCCTAGCATTGACAGTGGTTACTCAAATCACTTCATTTGAATTCTCCTACATAGCATAGCTGTGCAAATCAGTATGCTTTCATCTTCTCAACTTAGGGAAACAAAATACATCCCAAGTTCCTCTAAAGCTCCAATCTTTCCTCCGTTATTGCCTCCAAAGTTCTGTTTTCTCCATTGTTTAGTTTCAATTTCATTGTCCCCATCTCCCAGAATAAAAATTATCTTCTCGTTCTCTATTTGGTACAAACATCATCTCTCCATTTCAACCCCTTTTTCTTAAGGGGGAAGAGGTGTTACGAAGTTGTGTGGAATATTCCTGAAATGGAAGGCAAGAATTTAGAATTTGTTGGTAAAAATGATAGTGAGGAAAAGTAGTGCATGGTCTCTTTAAGAGACTGTGCTTTGTCTGGGCTTGAAAGTTTACAGGTCCTGTACAGACAGCCCTAAAATTGAAATGAGTGTATCAAAAGGCCTGACAATTGGCAGGTAAGACAGCAGTTTTGTTCTGGTACTGAGACAAATTTGAATTTAGCCAATTAATTTAAACCAAGCACCTAAATACAGAAAATCAATTGAATTTAAAACTGATGGTTTTCACAACCTGAAACCAATCATTTAAGAAATTGATGTGTCATCGGGAGAATGGTGGGGGGGTATATAAGTTGAGGGTTTTTGCAAGTCCAGATGATAGCCAACTGTCATTGAGGGGAAAGCAAGCCCACCATCTGATAAACAAGCCCCAAGTTCTCACAAGAAATCGCTAAGCTCTCTAAGAAAGCACCATCTATCCGAAAAAGGTACCATGGCATTTTAGCTCAAGGTCCTTCCTGAAGAAATTACAGAGCAAAACATCCCTGACAGCAGAATCAGTGGAAGGAAGGCACTTGTGGTGTAACGGAGAAGGCGGAGCGTTCCAGAAGACGCAATCTGTGCAAATTTGGACAGATTAAGTTTTATTTTACTGCGGTCTTTTAATTGGGTTTATATAAATGGGACTGGTGTTTATTTAAACAGCATTCCAGTAGAATTTAAGCCAGTTAGGGGGTAGTTGGTAGTCTAGGGGGGAATTGTTCGGTTTGTTAATAAGTCTGTTAATTTGTTCATTGCTAGGGTTTAATAAATAAATAGTTACTTGTTACTTATAAAGTGGATATCAGAGACTTTCTTTCCTTTAACCAATCTTTTAACAGATTACGAAGGGAGAGGTGAGCTTCTCTGGGTGTTTCAGATTTAATTATTAGAAGGGAACCTCTACTTCTGTCATAACGGATAAACTGAAATACAAGCCCCAATCTATCAGAGGGGTTTAACTTTCCTCTTCTCCATAACAAGTCACTGTGGACATGCCAAATTTCCTTAGCCTTCTGAGTGTTGGTGTGCTTTGACTGCAGCGTCAACATGCAGAGACCCAGGACAGACTGTTGGTGATATTTACTCCCAAGGACTTGAAGGCCTTGACCATCCACGTCAGCACCACTGAAACAGACTGAAGTGTATCTCCACTCCACTTCCTGAGGTTGATGACCAGCTCCTTCCTTTTGCTGACATCGAGGCCGTGACTTCACACCATGCCATTAAGTTGTCTCTCTTTTCTGTACTCTGTCTCATCATTGTTTGAAATCTGACCCACTATTGGTGTCATCAGCAAGTTTGTAAAACGAGATAGCGCTGAATTTGGCCACACGGTTGTGAGAAAGTATAAAGGAGTACAGTAAGGGGCTGAGTATGCAGCCTTTTGGGGTACCTGTGTCGAGGATGTGGAGGGGGTGCTGTCACTATCCTTACCGATTACAGTCTGCGGTCAGGAAGTGGAGGACCCAGTTGCAGAGGGGGGAGCACAGTCCTAGCTCTAAGAGTTTGGTGATGAGAATGGTTAGAATTATGGTGTTGAAGGCAGAGCTAAAGTCAATCAATAGGAGTCCGTCAGAGGTGTTCTTGTTATCCAGATATTCCAGGGAGGTGTGAGAGACCAGGGAGATGGTGTCTTCTGTGGACCTACTGCGACATTAGGCAAATTGTAGTGGATCAAGGCACTTCATAACAATCGATGTCAGAGCGGTGGTTGTCATTAAAGATAAGTTGCCTCATTTTTCTTTGGCATCAGCATGACTGTATTCTTCTTGAAGCAGCTGGGAACCTCACATTATAGTGAGGAGAGGTTAGAGATGTCTGCAAATATTTTCATTAATTGGTCCAATCAGGATCCGAGTTCAGGACTGGGAGCTCCATGAGGGGGAGTTGCTTTGCGTGGCTTCACGCTCAAGAACGCCGACCTGACATCTGCGACTGTGAACGTGGGTATAGGTACACCATAGACCGTCAGGTCTGGTGACATCATTTCACTGACCTCCTCTTCAAAACAAGCATAGAACGTACTGAGCACACTGGGGAGAGATGCATTGTCGTCAGGGATTATGCTCAACTGGGTATATAACTCAGACGGTTATATCATGTAAGCCTTGCCACAGTTGACATATGCTCATGTGGTTAGTCTGGGGCTCTAGTTTAGTCTGGTACTGTCTCATGGCATCCCTGGTGACTTTGGGAAGGTCGCACCTAGATTTCCTGTGTAGGTCAGGGTCACCACATTAGAATGCCTCAGACCTGGACATCTCCGCTCCCTCTGCTCCCACCCAAACCTCACTATCAAACCCGCATACAAGGGGAGGCCCAGTAATGGTATGGCGACCTGACCTTTAACAGCTGACGCAGGGTGCCAATCTCTGACACCTCCTCCTACCATCCCCTCAATCATGAACCCACCCCTTACCACCAAAACATCATCTCTCAAACCATCCACAACCTCATCATCTGAAGTGACCTCCCGCCCACAGCCTCCAACTCATCATTCCCCAACCCCGCACCGCCCGTTTCTATCTCCTTCCCAAAATCCACAAACCTGAGTGTCCTGGTCGACCCATTGTCTCTGCCTGCTTCTGCCCCACTGAACTTATCTTTGCTTACCTTGGACGTTGAACAGTTTTTCCGCCGCCTCCGCACTTACTTCTTTAGTCGTGAGCTGAACCCTCCCCCTACTGACCCCTTCTCCCACCTCCTGGACACCACCCCAAGGCCTCCTACCCTCCCTCGACCTCTTCATCTCCAACTGCCGTCGCGACTTCAATCGCCTCAAACTCTCCACCCCTCTCACCCACTCCAACCTCTCCCCCACAGAACGTGCAGCCTTCCGCTCCCTCTGCTCCAATCCCAACCTCACCATAAAATCCGCGGACAAGGGAGGCGCAGTTGTAGTATGGCGAACTGACTTCTACATCACCGAGGCCAGACGCCAGCTCTCCGACACCACCTCCTAGGTCATGACCCCACGCCCGACCACCAAAACATCATCTCCCAAACCATCCACAACCTCATCACTTCAGGTGACCTCCCACCCACAGCCTCCAACTTCATCATTCCCCAACCCCGCACTGCCCATTTCTATCTCCTTCCCAAAATCCACAAACCTGAATGCCCTGGTTGACCCATTGTCTCCGCCTTCTCCTGCCCCACTGAACTCATCTCCACTTATCTCGACTCCAGTTTCTCCCCCTTGGTCCAGAAGCTCCTCACCTACGTCCGTGACACCACCCACGCCGTCCACCTCTGCCAAAACTTCCGATTCCCTGGTCCCCAACACCTCATCTTTACCATGGACGTCCAGTCCCTACACACTTGCATTCCCCATGCAGATGGCCTAAAGGCCCTCCACTTCTTCCTGTCCCGCAGGCCCGACCAGTCCCCCTCCACTGACACCCTCATCCGCTTAGCTGAGCTCGTCCTCATCCTTAACAACTTCTCCGTCAATTCCTCCCACTTCCTACAGACAAAGGGGGTGGCCACGGGTACCCGCATGGGTCCAAGCTATGCCTGCCTCTTTGTAGGATACGTGGACCAATCCCTCTTCCGAAGCTACACTGGCCCTATGCCCCACCTCTTCCTCCGTTACATCGATGACTGTATCGGTGCCGCCTCGTGCTTCCACGAGGAGCTCAAACAGTTCATCTACTTCACTAATACCTTCCACCCCAACCTTAAGTTCACCTGGACTATCTCCGATACCTCTCTCTCCCCTTCCTGGACCTCTCTGTCTCCATCTCTGGCATCCACCTGGAAACCGATATCCATTTCAAGCCTACCGACTCCCACAGCTACCTAGAATACAACTTCTCCCACCCACCTTCCTGCAAAAAGGCCATCCCCTATTCCCAATACCTTCGCCTCCGCCGCATCTGCTTCCGAGATGAGGCATTCCATTCCCGGACATCCCAGATGTCCTCGTTTTTCAAGGACCGCAACTTCCCCTCCACAGTGGTCAAAAATGCCCTCGACCGTGTCTCTCACATTTCCCGCAACTCATCCCTCATACCCGCTACCCGCAATAACAGCCAAAACAGAATCCCCCTCATCCTCACGTACCACCCCACCAACCTCCGGATCCAACGCATCATCCTCTGACACTTCCGCCACCTGCAATCTGACTCCACTACCAAAGACATTTTTCCCTCCCCACCCTTATCTGTTTTCCCGAGGGACCACTCTCTCCGTGACTCCCTTGTCTGCTTCATACTCCCCACCAGCCCTACCACCCATGGCACTTTTCCCTGCAACCGCATCAAATGCTACACCTGCCCTTACACCTCCCCCCTCATCCCCATCCCAGGCCTCAAGAAGACCTTCCAAAACAGACGTTCACCTTCACATCTGCTAATGTGGTATACTGTATCCGCTGTTCCCGTTGTGGCTTCCTGTACATCAGGTAAACCAAGAGAAGGCTTGGGGACCACTTTGTGGAACACCTACGCTTGGTTCGCACTAAACAACTGCACCACCCGGTCGCGAACCATTTCAACTCCCCCTTCCACTCCTTGGACGACATGTCCATCCTGGGCCTCCTGCAGTGCCACAACGATGCCACCCGAAGGTTGCAGGAACAGCAACTCATATTCCGCTTGGGAACCCTGCAGCCCAATGCTATCAATGTGGACTTCACAAGCTTCAAAATCTCCCCTCCCCCGACCGCATCCCAAAACCAGCCCAGCTCGTCCCCGCATCCCTAACCATTCCATTCCTCCCACCTCAAGCCCCACCCCATCTCCTACCCACTAGCCTCATCCCGCCTCCTTGACCTGTCCGTCCTCCCTGGACTGACCTATCCCCTCCCTAACTCCCCACCTACATTCACCTTTACTGGCTCCAACCCCACCTCTTTGACCTGTCCTCTCCACCTATCTTCTCCTCTATCCATCTTCTATCCGCCTCCCCCTCTCTCCCTATTTATTTCAGAATCCCCTTCCCCTCCCCCATTTCTGAAGAAGGGTCTCGACCCGAAACGTCAACTTTCCTGTTCCTCTGATGCTGCCTGGCCTGCCGTGTTCCTCCAGCTCCACACAGCGTTACCTCCGATTCCAGCATCTGCAGTTCTTGCTATCTCCGAGTTATGTGGATCTTCCAGTTCATCCATGGTCATGACTCAGAATTTGCCTCAACAACAAGGAGACTTTGCTAGCAAAGGAACTGATGTTAGTCAGTTCCTCAACAATGATATACTCCATTCAGATCATGATTTAAAAGAAACAGCAGCAAATCTGGCAGCCCAGAAATTTAATTTGTCAGAGAGGATCACTATTGAGCAGGTTAGAATCTGCTAATTCTGCAGCAAGTCACACACCCCTGATTCCTCAAATACTACCTCCATCAACAAGGCACAAATCAAGAGCGAGATGGAATATTCGCCGTTGCCTTGATGTTTGCAACTTAATAAACTCAACAAACGTGACACCAACCAGGACAAAGCCACCTGGTTGATTGGCATGCCATCAATATCCTCAACATTGACTTCCTTCACTGATGTGCAGTGACAGCAGTGTGCACCACCTACAAGCTAAGCTTCAGCAACTCAACAAGTTTCAGTAGTACTTCCAAACCCATGACCTTTGCCACTAGAAGGACAAAGCTAAAGCATGTTCAGGAACACCACTATTTTCAAGGTCCACTCCAAACCACACAATATCCTCAATTAAAACCAAAAGAACTGCGGATGTTATAAATCAGGAACAAAAACAAAGTTGCTGGAAAAGCTCAGCAGGTCTGGCAGCATCTGTGAAG